AAAAAAAAAAAAAAAGTGTTGGACCTAAGAAAAATAGCAGTTTCATAAGGCTTGACCTAATGGTACATTCTTAATAAGTGGTAGCTCCCATTATTGCTTTATGCAGGGTGGGGTTCAGCCTCTGTTGATATGCAGTTTTCTTTTACTTTACTTGTGACACTGAGGGATAGGTTTTGTCCTCACCAATTCAGAAACTGGAAAGCAAGCAGGCAGGCTTTCTACCCAAAGGGCTGCAAATGGGATTTGCATATGGTCCATGGTAGGGGTCCTCAAACTTTTTAAATAGGGGGCCAGTTCACTGTCCCTCAGACTGTTGGAAGGCCAGACTGCAGGCCCCGGCATGAGTCGGCTGCTAAGTAGGACAGGCAGCGGTGGCAAAAACACTCGGTGGGCCAGATAAATGTCCTAGGCAGGCTGCATGTGGCCCGTGGGCCGTAGTTTGAGGACACCTGGTCTATGGTCTCTTTGCAGGGGGCAGGCATGCAGCCCTACTCCCGCTCTGCACCCCAACACAGTCTGACAATCATTCCCACTTCTCAAAAGAAGAGTACATTGTTAATTGCCACTGCGGGGTCCTAGTCAGGAGTTGGCTGAGAGGCTCTGACCTGTGTGCAAGGAATCAGTAAGATAGAGCACCCCCGTGTAAGGGTTATGTGTGTATCCTCAGCGGTCGATGGTGGGTTCTCTCTCTGGGCAGGAACTGGAATGGCTGCTGGAGATTAACCGACTCACACACCGGCTGCTTTGTAAACACATGACACTGGACAGCTTCGATGCCATGTTCCGGGAGGCCAATCACAACGTGTCTGCCCCCTACGGCCGGATCACTCTGCACGTCTTCTGGGAGCTTAACTTTGACTTTCTCCCCAACTACTGCTACAATGGGTCCACCAACCGGTAAGGGAGACCCTTTCACACAGGGGTCTAGGCCAAGTGGGGGCCCAGCAGTTAGTTCTGTGACAGGCATCTCTTGGGGCCCCTCCTGGGTGCAGGTTCTATTCTAGCCTGCCTCTTAGAACCTTCAGGCTAAAGAAAGATTGCAGACATCACACAATCCCAGGACAGATGTACCATGACAAGCAGTGAATAGAAGATAAAGAAAAGCCCACAGGGCCAGGAAACAGGTCACAGCACCACCTGACCTAGCCCAAGAAGTGATATTAACCTCCAGGAGGCTTCCTCCTCTGAGGGAATAACTCTGGAGTTGAGATGCGAAGGATAAGTAGGAATGAATGTGGTGAGGAGGCAGGAGAAGAGTATGCAAGGCCAAGTTTCTGTAGACCCAAGAGGTCGGTAGGGTAAATGTTGGGTTTGGGAAAGGTGCCGTGAGAGAGAAAGCAGGCAGCACAGACCCTGCAGTACTCCACAGGCCACACAGGATCCTGCATTCACCAACCCCAGGAAGTTGGAGGAAGGGGAGTGACGCCATCAGAGTGTGCATTGGTGAGGACATCCACATGTCTGAATGCACACATGCCACATAAGCATACATTTGCAGGGCACACGTGTGTGACTACGTGGAATTTGCCTCCTGCAAGGTGCACAGAGCCCTGGACCTGGCATGTACGCCAAGACTTAGCTCCTTTGTCCCTGCAGGAGTTCATGACCTGGTAGAAGAGGCAAGACGTGTCTCCACATACAAAACAAGCACACGCGGATGGGACAAACTGTGTCCATCTGCAGGCCCCCAGTGTCTCTGGGCCTGGCACAGGGCAGGTGTGAAAGGAGTATGTGGTGAATGAATGGAGGGGTATGTGACAATCCACACGTGCTCCCAGATCCACACTGAGCAAAACAGACTTCTAGTTAGTCTGTGAAAATTCAGGATTTTTAACTATCTCGAGCTGGGAACAGCCAAGTACAGGCCACATCTAGTTGCCAACAGTTTTTGATCAACCCATGAGCTAAGAGTGGCATTGGCATTTGGGGGTGGTTGGGGGGAAAGAATCTAAAGAAGCATCATATGTGGTGACAAGTGAAAATTATTTGGAGTTCCTTTAAATTTTCCTGGAACTTGGCTGTGCTCGTTTGTTTATTGTTGTCTGCGAGGGCTTCCAGACTGCAATAACACAGTTGAGTACTGTGACAGAGACCATCTGGCTGGCGAAGCTGAGAGGAGTGACTGGTGGGCTCTTAGAGAAAGAGTTTGCCAGGCTCTGCTGTTGAGAAACCGGAGAAGGCCGTTCTCAGGCCCAGCCCACTCTCACTTTGTCACCTGTGCCCTTCTCAGCAGCCACAGACCCTGAGACCAGGAACTGGGGCTGCAGTTTTCCCCTTTGCAGAAAGAAGACAGTGTTGAATAAAAGCTAGTTGGAAAGTTTGGTACCTTTATAGGCATCCAGCTAAGAACTGTGTAGCAGTTCCACTGTGAGCTTTCCCCGGTCAGAAAGGGCTCCTGCTCTCTGTACAGTCCCATGCAGCCCGATACTAAGATCCAGCTCACTCCTTTCCCATCTTTTCTTTGCTAGTTTTGTCCGGACTGCCATTCCTTTCACCCAAGAACCACAACGAGACAAACCCGCTAATGTCCAGCCTTATTACCTCTATGGATCCAAGGTACGGAGGGTCGGGGAGAAAAAGCAAATAGGAAAGTGTTCCCTGAATCAGAACAGCGAGAAGGCTAGAGATAAAGGCCGCAGTGAACTCCAGGCAGAAACTCCGAGTTTATTCATTTTTATTTGTTTACAACTAGCAGGGATGGGGGTGAAAGCAGGGTTGTGGGGGGAGCTGAGAGCTGAGCAGGAACAATTAGGTGAGGACTTCACCGAGGTGGCGGGGAAATGGGGACTTGGGGCTTCCCATTTGGCTTCTTGGGTCCTGCTGTTTCTCTGCTGGTTCGCTGCAGTGTCCTGTGATTCTGGGGTTTTGTGCTCCATAAATCTCAGGGGCACTTGGAAGGTCTCAGGATGATGCAGGGAGAGTACAAATGTCTTCTGCAGAACAGACAGTCCGGTCAAGGTGATTTCTCAGATCAAAGGAGGCTCATACACAGTATTTGAAATGCTTCACAAACATGGGGTTAACTAATATCAACTCACAAAGTAAAAACAGCACCTCCCTTTTCAGTCCTCTTTCAAACCTTAGGGTATATCAGGGAGAAAGGTTTATATTCATGCTAATGTGTATTTAATACTTCTTCAACACTGGTGGAGTCCCCTTTCAATCAAAGACATGAGATCAGGGCTCAGCACTGGTAGCATAGTGGTTACAGGACCAGACACATACACCAAGGGTGGCGGGTTCAAATTCAGCCTGGGCCAGCTAAACAGCAATGACAACTGCAACAAAAAATAGCCAGATGTTGTGGTGGACGCCTGTAGTCCCAGCTACTTGGGAGGCTGAGGCAAGAGAATCACTTAAGCCCAAGAGTTTGAGGTTGCTGTGAGCTATGATGCCATAGTACTCTACTGAGGGTGATGTAGTGAGACTCTGTCTCAGAAAAAAAAGACAAGCAATCAGGCTTTAAATTCAGAGTCACTGGCAGGCAAAAGTAGCCAAGTCAGGCTCCATGCCCATAGCTCAGTGGTTAGGGTACCAGCCACATACACCGGGGCTGGTGGGTTCAAACCCACCAGGCCTGCTAAACAGCAATGACAACTCCAACAAAATATATAGCCAGGTGTTGTGAAGGCAGCTATAGTCCTAGCGACTCAGGAGGATAAGGCAAGATAATTGCTTAAGCCCAAGAGTTTGAGGTTGATGTGAGCTGTGACACCACAGCACTCTACTGAGAGCAATACAGAGAGACTCTGTCTCAAAAAAAAAAAAAAAAGTAGCTCAGTCAAGTTTAACTTTTTTTTTATTATATTTATTCTTATGTCTCTTCCCTATATAACAGGGGTGTACTGATTTTTTGCTTATAAAGTAATACAAGGCTATCTTTGAAAATGATTTTAAGTTTAAAGAATGAGTCAAGTTAAAGTGTTGTTAATAACAGTAATGATAGATGGGATGTGAGGTGGTGTCTGGTCACCTAAAAGTTGGAAAACACTCCTGATCACACTTCTCAGACTTTTCCAAGTAATCCCCCCAGCAGCAGAGGAGACTGACATCTGCCACAGCTGACTGAAAGTGTACTTCAGGAAGCCCACCTGCAACTCAGACATATCTTTCAAGTTTTGTGTTTAAGTCATAAAGATTTTTATTTTCTACTCTATCCATTTTTTTTTTTTTTTTGAGACAGAGTCCCATTATGTTGCCCTTAGTAGAGTGCCGTGGCGTCACAGCTCACAGCAACCTCAAACTCTTGGGCTTAAACGAATCTCTTGCCTCAGCCTCCCAAGTAGCTGGGACTACAGGCGCCCACCACAAAGCCCAGCTGTTTTTGGTTGTAGTTGTCATTGTTGTTTGGCAGGCCGAGGCTGGGTTCGAACCTCCAGTCCAGTGTATGTGGCTGGCACCCTAGCCGCTGAGCTACAGGCTCCAAGCCTCCATGTTTGTTTTGATGTTTAAATAATACCTTCATTTCTAAACTGGACCCCCCAAATGGACACTGCTGAAGAGATGCATGTCTGTCCCTGGCACTCCCTGGAAGTGTACATTTTCCAGCTTGAGAGCTTTGTTATCAGGCATTTGTCCAACCCAGACGATCTGTAGTAATACCATTGACATTTGATGGGAGAAAAGTGGTAGTCTACAGGCAAATTTTTACAGAAGGCCTACTGCGTGGAGGGCTTTAGGCCCCTGATGCCAGCCGTCTCCTCACCTTCACTCCCCATGATGGGGCAGCATGGCTGGTTGGTCAAGCCCCTCCCTCTGTAAGGCTCTACCCGCGTTGGGGGCATCCCGGTAGGCTTCTGCTTCTGGTTCGGCTTCAGCTCCAGAGTTCTTGCGTGGTAGCTCCACCAGGGGCAGGCCCTGCAGGTCTTCTTCCCTCTGCCCAAGAGCCGGGGCCTCCTCCGGCCATCTCACCAGCCCATTGGCCTCCTCCACATGGCCAGCTCTGTAAGACCACCGGGGCTCATGGCAACGGATGCACCAGAACTGGAGGCAGATGAAGGCTAAGACAGCCGTGAAGCAGGCCAGCAGGATGGCCATCAGCACCCACAGGGAGATTTGGGGGTCCACCAGGGAGCTTCCGGCCGCCAGCGGACTCTTATCCAGGGTGTGGAACATGGTGCAGTAGTGCCTGTAAGCGGCCTTCTTACAGCTGATGCACAGGAAGTAGAGAGTGGACGGGGCGAGATGCTCCAGCACCACGGAGCTGGTGGTCCGAGGCACCGTCTCCTCGTGGTGGAAGCTGTAGCGAAGGTAGCCAGAGAAGATGCTGTTCCAGTTGGGCCTGTACATAATATGGTAATAGTCCTCCAGGCAGGGCTCTGAGGATGACCAGGAGATGATGGCTCCTGTGTAAGAAATGTTCCCAACCTTGATGTTCATCCCGATTCTGGAACCAGAATCAAAGTGCAGAGTGACATCCCCCTGTTTAAGTGCTACTTATCGTAATCACAACTCCCGTTTACCAAGCATTTGAGGTGGACACTAATGTCACCCCCATCTTATAGACAAATAGATGGAGACAGTACTGAGGTCAGCCATGGGGAGGAAGAGGCAGAACAAATCTTCAACCCCGGGCTGTCCCATCCCACAGTGGTTGGCCTTAGGGCCTAACACTTGCATGTACTCGTGTAGCCCTGGCCACATCCCACCTTCGCCGAGGTACACCATTGTTCTCACCCCCTTAAAAAAAGAAGAAAAAGCAATAAAAGGAGAAATCAGTAGAATCTCAGAGACCACAGCATGGTCAGCATAGTACCTCTCCTCAGGCCATTGATAAACCTAAAATTTCCCTTCTTGACCTCCTGCTTCTGCCCCAAGTGCTGTGAGCTCATTAATCTAGAACATTCTGCCCACTGTGGGTTTTTTTTTTTTTTTTTGAGCCTCCTAGTTCTGTTGCCCATGGTGAGCAGAGATTTAATATGTCGCTGATTAGCAGCTGATTTTGCCCCCCAGCCTCTGTTCATATTTTATTTGTTTTTTCAAAGCCAAAGGTACCAGGAAATTAGTTAAATAGGACAAGAAAATCAGGTCTTGGCTTAGCGCCCATAGCTCAGTGAGTCCCAGGGCACCGGCCACATACACCAAGGCTGGTGAGTACGAGCCCAGCCTGGGCCTACTAAAACAACAATGACAACTGCAACAAAAAAAATAGCCGAGCATTGTGGCAGGCGCCTGTAGTCCCAGCTACTTGGGAGGCTGAGGCAAGAGAATTGCTTAAGCCCAAGAGTTTGAGGTTGCTGTGAGCTGTGATGCCATGGCACTCTACCAAGGGCAACAAAGTCAGACTCTGTCTCAAAAAAAAAAAAAAAAGAAAGAAAGAAAACCAGCTCCTAATACCAGTTAACTATGCTATTTACAATGACTGGTGTTTTGAGTGGTAGTGATGGGCATAATCACTGACACTAGTGAGCTGGCTCTGTGTCACAGGTCACACTAGGTGCTTCACACACAATGATAAATTTCCTTTATTCTTCATCACACCCTCAGAGCTAGATTCCCGTTGTATAGATGAGCAACTCGAGGTCGTGCAGCTAATATGCAAGAAAGAAAAAAAAGACTCAAAGCCACTTACCTGCCACCCTTCCAAATGCAAGGCTGCTAGATCTAATAACAGAGCATAATTGGAAAACGAGGTGCCAGTACTGAGACCTCGTTGTTGTTTTTCCAGGCAAATCAAATGAGTCCTTTTCAGACTGCCAGGCTTCTCACTTTGTTAAGAAAGAGCCATCTTCGAGTATCTTAGTTTCTCTTTACCTCTCTTTGGGAGACGCAGTTCCCCTGCCCTGAATTTCCTGATCAAACATCCAGGGACAGCCATCATCAACCTGGGCATATTCACGTAAAGTTCTCACCCTGCTTCGTCCTCTGCCCTCCTCTCTGACACGAAACCCAAGGTTGCATTTTACATTGGAATAACAGAGTGAAAAAAGCAGTCGATGAGATGTCAGCCTGAATTGGCTATTAAGCTGAACTGATTCCTCTTCCACCCCACCTTCCTCTCTCCCCTGCACCCCCTCTCCCGTTGTTGTGCCCGTATTCCTCTGGGGGTTGGGCTGCAGAAAGACGCACTGCACTGAGCCATCTTTCAATCTTTGTCTTTCCTCTCTAAGGATGACAGGGTGACAGGGAATTAAGATGTTCAGCAAGGAGAGTATTTCCTTTTCATTTGTCTGGAAATGTCTTCCTGGAAAATGAGGAAGGAAAAGGATGAGACAGGTGTGCTCAGGATCCTTCCCAGGGAAGGTCATGGGGAAGGAGACAGAATGTCTGTGCCCCTTCCTTGGTCTCCTCGTTCACACTCATCTTCCCCACCCCAGCTCCCCACGCAGCCCCGTAAAACACTTTCGACCACGGTGTAGAGAGCTTAATTCATTACTTACGACACACAGGCAGCCACCTTTGTAAAACCCTCTCGTCAGGAGTGGTCAAGAATCCTGCTTCTTGTCACCCGTGAATCTGTTCTTCTGTTTACCTCCTATCTGCTCTCAGCTGTCTTTACAGACTGAATTCCCTACAGCCGACATTTTTAGAACCAAACCCATCTCCCTTATTTATTTTTCATTCTCTGTTTCTAAATTCCTTCTATTTTTTAACTATTCATTTACCATTGCCTGGCCCTTCTCCAAGTGGAATGTGGAAGGAAAAACTACTTCCATTTCCAAGATGAGCCTTGTATGTCTCTTACCTGATGCTTGCAGCGTATCTGGTTAGAGCTCTGCCCTCTGAGGCAGAGTGGACCAAAGCCGAACGAATGGTGCCTTCTCCCTCCTCCACTCTGGACTCTCCTGGATGTCTCTGTCAACCACTGAGTAATCCCACTGTCGCCCCCAACGCTCACATTATTCATTTCTTCAGATCAGCATCATTCACCATGGCAACCAGCAGGCATCTGTACGCACGATGCTTTCAGGGACCAGTCTGGAAAGGCTTTTGCCCGATGAGAGGAGCTCTTACTCCTTTTGCTAAAAAAAGGCAAACAGTCTCCCGCAAAACAATCCATAGTATGGTACTAATTCTTCTAACACTCTCACATTTTCTGTCTCATTGGCTGATTATCATTTCCTCTCCCCCTCTAGATCCTCTCTGGATAATGTTTTCAAATGTAAAGATGCCCTTCTCAGTTATTGTGAAACCACAACAGTAACAATAATTCACCCTGATCCCCTCACCCCCCATCACTGCCTCCCTATCCTACCTCAATATCTTTTTTTTTTCTTTATTCTTGTCTTCTTTGGCATTCTCTAGTTTTATGGCACTGGTCAAAATCCTTTTGTTGTCTGAACCTCAGTTGTGTCATTTGTAAAGCTATGGGCTTGGGCTAGATGGGGGACTTTTCCCTTAGTTCAGCCTACAACCTGTGTCAAACTTGTGAAACCATCATGTCACTTGTACTGGGTTGAATAATGTACCCCCCAAACCCATATCTACCTAAAACTTCAGAATGTGGCCTGATTTAGAAATAGTGTCTTTGTAGATGTAAGTAGATGTAGTTTTTTCTTTTCTTTTTTTTTTTTTTTTTGAGAGAGAGAGAGTCTTACTTTGTCACCTTTGGTAGAGTGCTGTGGCATCATAGCTCATAGCAATTTCACACTCTTGGGCTCAAATGATTTTCTTGCTTCAGCTTCCCAAGTAGCTGGAACTACAGGCACCTGTCACAATGCCTGGCTATTTTTTAAAGACAGGGTCTCACTCTTGCTCAGGCTGGTCTTGAACTCCTGAGCTCAGGCAATCCACCTGTCTCAGCCTTCCAGAGTGCTGGGATTACAGGTGTGGGCCACCGAGCCTGGCTGTAGATGTTATTAGTTAAGGATCTCAAAGTGAAGTAATCCTGATTTGAGGGTGAGTACTAAATTCAACAACTGGTGTCTTTATAAGAGGAAGGAGAGGGAGGTTTACACATGGAGAGACCCAAGGGAAGAAGGATGAAGACAGAGACAGAGGCGGGGGGGATGCTGCCAGGAGCCAGGGAAGACCTGGAGCCATCAGAAGCTGGAAAGACCATGGAAGTGCCTGTCAGCCTTTGGAGGGGGCATGGCCCTGTTAGAGCCTTGATTTCAGCCTTCTGGTCTACAGAACTGTAAGGAAATAAATTTCTGTCATTTTAAACCACCACATTTGTGGTTACAGTAATTTGTCATAGCAAACTCAGGAACCAAATGCTGCAATCCTTCCAGCTGGGCTCAGGAACAGCCTCAGCATCTGACTCAGCACAGGCATCCCAAGAAACTGCCCTACTGGTCAGTCAATCGTGCTGACATCAGAAATGGAGACTGTTTACTTTTCCTGGATTGGAGCATCCCCAGCATTCCCTTTGAGAATTCCAGACTGCTTCCCTGCCCTCTTCCACTTCCCACAGAGGTCTGGCTCCCCGAGATTCCATCCCTTCCTGTTGCCCTCAGACTTAAAAGAACACAACCCACCCTTCTGTCGAAGTGATCACAGAGCTTGTCTGAAATAGAGGATGGAAATTAGCTCACAGGCATTGAGACATGAATAATTTTACACACATTGTGTGTTTTTAGAAGTCAGCTTTTTTTCCCTCAGTTCTTTGCCGAAGTATCCAGGTGCACCCATGGAGGTCTCCTTGTGATTCATGTCAATCATAAACAAGACCTTTCCCCAGGCCCGTGATTTCCAGGAGTCCTGGGGTCCAGGGACATCCAGTCTTCCTTGATCAGAGTGTTGCTTGTGGCCTTCCTATGCCATTCCATCTGCTAAGACAGACAGCCGGTCTCTAATGGTGACACCCTGCAGAGTCTGAAAGCATCCTCTCCACAGAAAGGCCAGTGCAGTAGTTTTCAGGTGCCTTTTGAAAAGGTTATTTTTAGGAGAATAACAATATCAGAGTTAGGGGGCCTGAGGAGGGAGGTACAAGGTGCACTCCAGCCTTTTCCCACAGATAATGGGAATTTATTTTTAATGTGCCTGGATGACAATTTTAGTTGTGAGTTTTTTATTTGTGGAATTAAAACTGTCAAAGAATGCCGTCTGGTTTCACAGTCCCAAGGGAAGACATGGCATTCCTCTAGCCACTTGACTGACAAGTGGAAGAGCTGGGAGTAAAAACTAAATCCAGAGCTTGTCCTGCTCCTCTGAGCTGTCACTGCTCACCAGCAGCCCCCAAGGAGCCAGTGCGGCCCTTCTGAATGGGTTATAGTATCAGAGGGTGCCTGCCCCATGAGATGAGACCGCAGCCAAACTCACACTCTCGGCAGAGTCAGCCCTTCCACAGTATGTCCACGTTGTAGCTGCTTCAGCTATAGGGCCAGGTGGTCCCCAGTAACTTACTGTGTTTCCCCGAAAATAAGACCTACCCCAAAAATAAGCCCTAGCAGGATTTCTAGCATATCTGCATAGCCACACCATGCATTTCCGTGTGGAGCGGTAAGGAAGCCTGGAATACCTTTTATCTGCCACAGCAACTTTCTCCGAGCCATTCACACTTGCGCAGGTACACGTGTGGTAACCTCGGTCACAGGCATCCTATTACGCAGGTGCAAAGGGCTTGGGGAAAGGAGTTCACATATCACTAGTGCCAGCCCCACCAACAAGGTCGGCTCCCCCTGACAGGTTCCAGAAGAAGATGACTTAACTGTATTTGAATAAATGTAGATTGTTGTATTACACTTAATAAAAGTAAGACATCCCCTGAAAATAAGCCCTAGTGTGTCTTCTTGAGAAAAAATAAATATAAGACAGTGTCTTATTTTCAGGGAAACATGGTCACCAGGGGTAAATTACCACTAGAGGAAATCAACCAAGAGCAGGGTCCCTGCACCTTATCTGCAGATGGCAGTGAAGGGATGGCTTGAGAGCCTGCCTCAATCCCCAAGCTAGATTGGCATACAGGGAAGTGAATGGTTCAGAGAGCAGGCCCCAGAATTTCCAGGCGAGGTTCAAATCCTGACTGTGTGACCCTGGAAAATTCCTTCACTTTTCTATGCCTTGTTTTACACATTTGTAAAATGAGAACGAACATCAGTGATACCTGACTTACAAAGTGTTGTTATAATGGTGAGATGAACCCATATCTATAAAGTACTGGGCTTAGGAATAGTAAGAAGAAAAGGCCAGAGGATCAGAGCCGTCTCCTAAGTAGGTCATAGCTTCCTCCAGGGGCTATAATGAGCAAGATTTGCACCCTACGTTACACTGTACTTCCTTGCTTCCCCCCCCTTAAATTAGTCTTATTGGTTCTATTTTTTTTTTTAAATGCCTATGCTCATCTTGTAAAGAATATAGGATGTAAATGAATTCAAAGAGGGCAGTAAAACTCATATCCTATATCTCAGAACTAACCACTGGGAACATTTGGTGCATTTTTTCATGTGTTTTCTCATTTTACCCTTGCTCATACAACCATTTGAGATAGGCCCTCTCTCTTATTACCATTATACAAGGGAAGAGATTGCAGCTCAGAGAGGCCAACTGGCCTGATGCTATCAGAAAGCTACATCCTGGCAGAGCAGGGCTTTAATCCTGGGTCTGTTGGTCACCGGCCTCTGGCTTTGGTGCACTGCTGTTCTGCATGTGTCATCCTATAACCTGGGATTCTTTAGTCTTTACTCTCTGCCTTGTGGTTAGCTGTGTTGGAGAGGTAGAGATAGGATGTCGTAGTACAGTGGGCTCCAGAAGGATGGGAACAGAAGGATAAAGAACTAAAAGGCCTTGCAGAAAACACCCAACCACCTGACACAGTAGCTTCAGAAAAAATATCACCTTGTGTGGAGAAATAGTTAGCATGTGTTTCTTCCTCTGAACATCCCCTGCTCTGGAGCCCAAGTATACCTGCCCAAGAGCGCTGTTGCTTAGGAGGGATGTTACATGTTAAAAAAAAGAAATGTAACTGATCCAGTAATCAAAATTAATGTATGAATTGAAACTGTAAAAATATATTTTCTAAGTGAAGTATATAGAGTGTTACCCTAAAACTATCCTCAAGTGATACAGATTATGGCACAAATCATTCATTCAATTATTCTAGTAATTTCCCAATAAATTTTTGGCTTTTAGAAATTGTTAGGATGATTTTTTTGTTTAGCATAAAGATTGCTAGCTAAATGGTAGCCCCGTGAGAACCACAATCTAACCTCAGGGAAATTCATCTTATGCTCACAGTGCCTTCCCCATTAAGTCCTGGTCCTTAGGTCCCACTACCCAGTGCTTGGCTGCAGCAAGCTGAGTACAGCTCAGCAGGGACCCTATCTGGATGCCAACACTTCCCACTTGGGCTGACTGGGGGACTTTTCCCTTAGCTCCTGTGACAACACCAGCAGCACCCACTTCCCTGCCCCACCTCATCCTGTGTCTGCATGGTCCCGCCACCACGTTGCACGCCATTGTCTACCCATCAGTCCAAAGGCTTTTGTTATTTTGGCAACTGGTACATACAACAGAATTTCATCTTGTATCTCGCCTCAAGCAGGACACTTCATTTCACCTGGGCTTCGGTTTCCTCTTTCCACTAAATGGGGATAACAGTACTACCCTACCTAATATGGTAGGCTGAGAATGATGCCCCAAAATATCAGGTCCTAATCCTGGAAGCTGTCAATGGCATTTTCTTTGGAAAGGTCTTTACAGATAGGATTTAGTGACAGATCTTGGTGTGGAAAGATGATCCCGAATTATCAGGGTGAGTCCTAAATGCCATCATAAGTGTCATAAGAGAGAAGCAGAGGGAAGTTACATGCATAAGGGGGGAAGGTAGGATTGGAGTGGTGCAGCCACAATCCTGGGGAATCTGGCAGGCACCACTAGCTGTAAGAGGCATGGGACAGACTCCCTGTTGGAACCTCTGGAGAGAGTATG